CTTTTGTTTTTGTGTTTTTACATATTGGTACATATATGCGGAGAAGGAGGTGTGAAAGTCGTGATATATTTATTCATAAGTATACCCACCAACGCATCTACACTCTAATCAAAATCAGAATAACTTTGATGTATTTGGAATTAATACGTAAAACTTGGAAGCAATATCCATTTAACTTTGAAGATTGTTATCTGAAAACTTTACAGTTTCTGGAACAGTGATGATTCTCTTGTCCTTCATTCCGAATATCACCACTTTTAATAAAGAACAATTTTGAATTGCTATTACAGTTCAACCTATTAGCATCAAAGATGGAAATATCTATAACAGAATAATATTTACTCATGCAATATTTTGGTGGATGACGGTGAGATAGTTAATTAGTCGTTTTTACATATTTCGTTTCACATAAATGCAATCGAGTGAGTCGTGCCGTTGCATTTATGAAGATAGATTCTGTTCGTGTATGTTACCTGTAGCCCACATGAAACAAAATCTTTCATGCAGTGAGTGAAGTATGAGTAAATGCGTACGATGACAAATAAAAAGCAAAAATGCGCAGAGGAAAAAGAAAAAATTAATTCACAATCCTACACATTAATTAGGTTGATAATGAGTAATCGGTAATTTTGATTAATACTTTTTATTCATCATGATATGAGAGATTTCTCATAATCAAATTGTCATCATCAATCATGCGTATATGTGTATGAAAACTAAATTTCTCACTGTATCAGATATTTACGTCAATTTTGCTGATTCATCTTTTCTTATCCAACAAAATCATCCTCCTCTGTAAGATACCTTATAAATAGACGAAGTTTCAAACGACTCATATCAAACTCAATTCAACTTTTAGTCTTAACTATCAAAATATAATTACTTGCATGTTACATACACATATTCTATTACTATTGCATTTTCTAAGCATTTGCTTGTATACAAATGCATTTATTCCATTTCCAGTGGTTGGAGATGGTGCTCAAACTAGTGATAGTAATTTTCAATTTTTTTGACTTTTTATGAAAAATGATTTATTTATTTTTCTTCTTAATAATAGGTATTACACATACAGAAATTACCCAAGCTGGTTTTATTCGTTGTCTAGCTCGTTTCTTTTATGATACACGTATTAAACCAAATAACAATAATGGAAATACTATTAACGAAAAAGAATATTTTACTAAAGCACATACTATTGATGATCTTTATAAACTTGCTTATCCTGAGTATAATCAAGTACAAGTAGAATTATATTCACTTCCATTAAAATTTATTCTTGATTTTGTTATGACTGAAAATGCTCTTGTGGATTTTGATTCAAAAACAAAGAAACTTTCAGCAGCACATTTTGATAGTGAAGCATTTATAAATGGTAGTCGACGTATTCTTCGACTTAGACAAATAGGTAACGTCTTTTTTCAAAATGATTTTGAATACTTGATTTTAATATTTGTATTAGTTGTTAATGATACACGTACTACTGGTAAAGATTTGACTGATGCTCGTGAATCACTTGGACGATTGCTTCATACATTACAAGATTTTTATTCACATTCAAATTGGATTGAAATGGGTAAAACTAATATTAATA